CAAAGAAGTGTATTGTGATCCCAATGATAGAAAGTTCTTTTATTAGATCTAGTTTTCTTTTTAAGGCATCTACTAGTACTTGTTGATTCATCATCCATTGCTTTAAGTTGGGCCATTAAAAATATGTCTTGCTCTGTTTTAAAGAGAGCTTGAAAAGATTCCCTTAATTCTGCAAATTCTTCCTTGGGAATTCTGGAAGAGCAACCACATTTACAACCTTTCTCTAAAAAATCAATGGTTTTTTGATATTCATTAGAACCATTATATCTATTATTTTTCATATATACATATCCCTATATAGGTTTTTTCATAATTGTTTTAAAATTGAAGAGAAGTATATGAATGGAATTAAACTTAGATGAATCAATGGAATAACTTTAAGTAAATGGTTTAAAAAATATGATTTTCCAGTAATTAATGAACATAATAGAATTATCAAGTTGTCTTTTCTCATTTTGATCATTGATGATGATAAGCCAATTTAAATCTAGGTCATAGTTATTTTTCATGGGACCAGTTGACCAAAATTTTTCAATTTCTCTTTGTATTTATTAGATAGTACCAATCAAAAACAATATAAATAAAGTACTAAAAGACAAACAGTAAATGAAATATTTGTAATATTTTACTTTCATCAATAAGTTAATTACCTTTTTTTTCTGCATGTTGTTGATCAGAAACATACAATAACCATATATTGTTATAGAAAATTTATATTTTTAAAATAATCAAACATCCTTTGTTATAAATCGATACAATGATTATTAAACATGTTAGCCGAAATTGGCTCTCTTAATAAATGATTGTCACTGAATCCGAAATGCCAAAACTAGTTTTCTTTAATTAACACTAGGTGTAACCGCTGACGGTTTACATCTAGAGCACGCTATAAATAATCTTGTAATTTTTTTTTTATTCAAAATTATTTAATACTGTAAATTCATAGCATTAATAAGTTTGGTTGCATTTATTATAAATATGTATAGATTTAAAAAAATAACAAAAACTAATGAAAAATATAATATTTTATTGTGGAAATTTTATTGTATCACAATTTAAAAATCATTTACATGCGGTAGTCTAAAGTTACGCATCACAACTATTTATGCGTGCGCGCCATTCTAAACCTTAGGACACGTGAACACAACGTTTTTAATATAATAGATAATTGCTGAAATTTTCCAAAAATATTTTCAAGTTCTTCAAGTCAAGATACACTAAGTGGCACAGCTTTTTATTTTCATTCATATAAAGAATATTGCAAAGCCGAAATGTTTGCCGAAATTACTTTTTTTTTCTAAAAGTAAATTCGGGGCCATCTATAGTTGTTATTGTCATGTGTAACCTCCCTTTGCCAAACTGAAAAAAAACAGTCAAATATGTTGAGTACTTATTTCGATGAAACACCTTCTCAATCATACAGTTTACTTGGTTTCTACATTCATCGATCAAAGGAATTAGACTTTACATTTAATTTTCGTACAACTTAAAAAAGGATCTTGATCATATGATTGAAGTGGAAGGAGGAAAGCAGCAAGTCAACTAAATAAAATTTTTAAGGCAATTTTTATTATTAATTTTTTTGATATCATCACTTTCTACGTGGCTGGTTGGCAGAGGAAGGCTGTACAATTCATACAAGATTCATTCTGCTTGCTGGATCTTTTCGTGTTTTGTCAAAGTACTGCATTTGAAGTTGTAAGACTTCTCTCGCAGGAAGGAATCCACACAACTACGGGGACACCTGCTTGCTGTCCACTTTATAATCTGCTTGCCCGTTGTGCCTGCCTCCAGCCATGTTTGATATATGAAAGAATTTATATATTAATTGATATATTAATTTAATAGGGACATAGGAAATACTTTAAGGATATTGATATATTTTGGAAAAAAATAGAAAGAGAGCAAAATGAGGTTTCTTACTTAACCAATTTTCATGCGTTTCCTTAACAAAACTTGAACTTGTTTGACTGTATTTTTTTATAACTACAGCTTAAAGCTTCTAGCTACATTTTAGATGATACACACAAAGTTTTTGAAACAACTATTGAAAATATTCATTCCTCTATTGAGAATGTTAATGATAAACTGGTATTTTTTTTAATTAAAATTATTGGGAAGAATATGTGTGACAGTTATACATAGCTCGTTGCATATTTTTACTAAGGTACCCAAAAACGTGCACAACCAACAAACAATGGAAGTTCAGATGAAAAATTGTATTGAATATGATTCATGAATAGTGTCTATCTCCTCTCTCATTTCACATAGTTGTTTGTATTGAAATATACTCTGACAAAGGACTAATATTTTTTGAAATAATAGGATCAAGCAACAGAATATAAATATGGGACTCATAAAAGAATCCACAAAACATTTGAAGAAATTGGTAAAAATTTCTTATGTTTATTATTATACATATAGATGATTTTTGGTTTTATTCTGAATAGTCTATTTTTTTTTTAATAATAAATACAATAAAGTTACTGATACTATAGCTAATAATAATAGTGATGGTGAAGATTTTATAAATGAAGATAAAGAAATTAATGAAAAAATAGATTTTGATTTTGATAGTTTAGAGCGAGAATTGAAAATTGAATGTGAAAAACAAGTATGTAGCAATTGAAAATTCTGATTTCCTTTTGTTACATAATTTTGAGTTTTCAGATTTTTATTGTATTTCAGTGGGAAGTAGGAAAGATAAATGTTACAAGAAAATTCAAAGATTACCAGTATAATCTTCTTTATGAAATTGAGAACAAAATTAAAAAATTAACTTGGAATGATACTATTGATATATTGTAAGTAATAAGTATCTTAAAACATTTATGATTGTGTATTATATATTCATGTGAAGACATATTTTTTTTTCCATTGCTTTTTATAGGGCTTTGGGGTCAATAATAGTTCTTGATTGGCCTTGCCCTTATTATACCTTCACTACCGATGAGTGGCTTGAAATAACTGAGACTAATCCATTCAAACTGAAGGAACCAGTATTAAATCCAAGTTTATCATCATCATTATGTGATGCCACATATAAAAAATCATTAGGTTTAGCATGTGACTTTGATCCAGATGATACTATTAAATATAGTAAATTAGCTCAACGAATTTTCAACAACTTGTAAGTTAACTCCATTTCTTCAATATTTTTGTAATATTAAAGGAAAAGAAAATAATTTTTTAAAAATACATTTTAGAAATGAAGACATCCCAATTATGGGCACCAATGAGGATCTCTGAAGACGAACATAGATTTCAATATCTAGATCCATTCCTTAAACCTATTTTAGTGGTCCTTACAAAAATTATAAATTAAAGTTAAATCATATTGTTTATGGGAGTCAAAAAAGACAAGATTTTGCTTGTATTTTGGATGATATCCCAATCCTTAATTCTGAAGTTAAACCGATTGGATTCACAAAGTTGCAAAGGAACAAGGACTATTTAAAGGTCAACTTTAGAGCAAAAAAAACCATTAACACATTAATAAATAATAAAAATGGTTCTGATAAAGCAATATTTTTCATCAATATGGGTATCATAAAATTTCCATTCATTATTTATTCTCATTACATTTGTTTATGGTATATACACTGAATTGTTCATTTGAAAATCTAGGTAACACTATGGAGTCATTTACAATGGATCTTGAATTTGAGGGAATTTATCGATCTTGGCCTTTGTTAAAATCTAATATTGTAATTGATATACCATCACTCCCAATGTTTGTTTCAACATTCACTCATTTTATCACATTAGAGGTATACATTATGTTATATTCTCACCTTTGCTTTAAGCTTTTATGATGAAATATGTTCATAATCACATCACATTTTCTATTGCAGGAATGTATTAAAATTTTAGCAGAAGATTATATAGGTTGATCAAAATATTTTATAGAAGATAAAAAATACAAATATGTTAGAGAATTACCCGACTCTCCTCAATTAAAGCAGTTGTTAAAATAAAATCTATTGGGAAAAATGACACATAAAGAAAAGCTACATTTGGAGAGCTCAGGAAATTAATAGTCTCTTTTTGTTTAGTTTTTCAAATCTTTAATTACTGGATAATTTATTGTTCTTGGCTTTTTATAAAAATTAACAAATCAAAGAAAGATAAGTCATTTTTAAATGAAAAAATTAAAAATTGAATTTATTATGTACAGATCCATGATTGTATAGCTTGCTTGAGATCATCTCCATCAATTCCTAATAATATCAAAGAGAAAAAATTAAATCCTTATTTTAATCTATTGATTATTCCATTTATCTTATATGAAGGATATTTAAATATTAAAAAATTATAGAACAAGAAACAACAAGATGTGAGAGTGCAATGACTGTAATGCTCTTGTGGTATATATCTAGCAATTTTGATCCCTGAATTCTTGGTAATACCAATGTTCACTTTGTCTGGTTTTGTTGCAACATGCCCCATATTAAAATTAGTGACTGTAAAATGTCATCCGACTAATAGGGTTTAATTGTCTGTTTGATTATCAGAGTGGTATAGAACTCTGAGGTTTTGGTTATTTGCTTTGTTATAAAGCAAAGGTTTTGTTTTGTGTATTCGCTTTAGTAAAGAAAGCAAAGGTTTAATTTTTAGCATGAATGCTTTTGTTTAATTTTTTTGTTAACTGTTTGTGTAAACGTAAAGTGTTAAGACTGATTGGAAAAGGATTAGGCGTTGACAGTTATTGCTGATTGAACCCATTACAAAGAGCTAACAGTTATACCGGTTATTGACCAAAGTCGTTACCACATATTGTTAAGTAATTGTTGCAACTGACTTCAATGGCTATCTTTATTTATTGTGATTGTACCATAAAGCGTGCTTACAAATTCGCCAAAGCTTTCTAGGTACAAGAAAGAGGCAGCAAGCAGATAAATAAATTAATTGGTAAGCATTGAATATAAAGGCCTACAATTAATCGACAAGTGCAAAATAATCAAGGTTGACTAAAAAGCCACCCTTGCATTATTTACAAGCAAAAATTATATTTTTGCCCGGGACATTTAAAGTGGAAAGTACGCGCGTCTGCTTGCATAAATTTTAGCCAATCAAATTTCCTTTAAAAATTTTCCCAGAACACGGATCATTTATAAACTAGGAAATCCCATTTATGGTATAATCCTAATGAGAAAAATTGAAAGGCGCAAAAGGTGTTAAATTTTTCCAAATTTGTACTAGTTACACGACTAAATTTACACTATATATGAAGTTAATATTAATAAATGATCTGTGGGATGCATTTCAAAAAATTCAAACTGTCGTTGGAGATTATGGGTTACACTTTCTTAAAAGGATTATGAATTAAAAATTGAGTTCTCTTTAATTTTTTAGTAACTTTTGGGGGAACTGACTATAATAATAAGGCCAATTATCATATGACTTGGACTATTATTAGAATATTGGTTCAGGAGAGAAGATAATAAATAAACCCCCTTATTATTATTTATGGAAAATGAAAAATTTCATAAATTATTTAGTTTAAAAGTGTAGTTTTTTTAATGTGTTAATGATTTTTATGAAATTAAATTTTAATAATTTTAAATAATAACAAATATAACGAAAATAATATTAAAAAAACTACACTTTTTTAAGCATGTGGTGTGATAATTGTCTTTTGTTTTTTCCTCTACGGACCGGTGCAATGATTCTAGGTGTAATATCAGCGGTAAATATATAAACATATAAGAGAACAAAGCTCGAAAGCATATACGCATACATACACGTACTTACATGCAAATTAATAAATATATACGTGTATGTGAAGCCCAATTAATTAATTGGTGATTTCGTTTTATGATATTTGATTTGATTAATTAAAAATTTAGCTGTATCAATGTGCCGGTGGAATATTTTTATTTAAATATGGAGGTGTGCATATTATTAATCAATCAATCAATCAATCAATCAATTATATCTCCACATTCCAGCATAATAATTAATTATTTTGGTTTTTTGTAGAATTTTTCTTTTTCCATTATCCCGAAGTACAAATTTATGGCGGATATGCCATGGCACAAGCATCCATTGCGATTATAGCAGTAATTGGTTTCTCATTGGTAAATAATAGTTGATCTTTTTTTTTTTTTTTGGTTTTTTACAATTAATTAAACTATTAATATTTTATAACTAGAAATCATATATAAATGGTAGAGTAATATTTAAAACATATCCAATAATACTATTATTAGGATCAATCAGAGCTGGATTAATGGCATGGAGTTTGCAAAAATATAAATATCGTATTGTATGGACTTGTAATAATGGTGGGGTTCAATGGTCGGATCCTGACTCACCTGATTATACACCACCGTTACTTGATTCTAAAAGATTACCTCTCGGATTTTGTAAAAGTGGTATTGATAATTTTGTTGCAATTTTCACTCTTTCCTTGTTATTGGATTTTGTAATAATGGTAAAGATCAATTAATTGTTTGATTTTGCAATTGAATTGCAAGCAATTGTTTTATTCGCTCACCTGTTTATCCATCTGTCTGTTTTATAGTGTTATTTCTACTTCTTGATATGGAGAATTAGTGTCAAATTAAGATCCGGACTTTTTTATTGTGAATATTTTGTTTAATATTAATAATATTAATATTAATATTAAATATTAAACATAAACATTAGATATGAATCAAGACTATTTTTATCATCTCTAATCTTTCCTAACAACACGCATATATGTATATGTATGTATGTATGTATATATATATATATATATTAATATCACAAATTTAAATTTTTTTTTAACTTAACCCGCATTTCATCCAACCTTTTTCACAACATATCAAGTCACCACTCTGAAACTTTCCAATAATAATTAATGTGTTGTATTTATTTATTAGTTAATGTATTATTATATTTATATTTATTATTTATTATTTTTGTAAATTTATTATTTTTAATAAAATACTAAGGGGAGTAATGCAGATACAGACATCTCAAGATTTTATTAATATGGATATATTAACCATAAACGAAATCTGAAGATAACAATTTTCAGCAAAAAGTAGTAATGTCGTGGTTTTTTTAACTCCCAAAAAAGAATCACTTTATCTGCACTGATCAATACACATTAATTATTTTGCTAATTAATGTTTATATAAAGATCTTAATTTATAGTTTGTAAACCATTTTTAATATTTTAATATTGATTGATCATTTGATCAAATAATAAATAATAATATATTCTGTTGTTCATGTTATGTATTATGTAATATTTCTAATTTTTATATATATAAAAAATAAATCCATTTTTACCCTTTATTTTTTTTTTCTCTCCCTTTATTAATGTTATTGATGGTTTTCCAATTTAAATTTTGTAATTAAATTATCATAAAATCTTACTCCTTCAACTGTCACATCTCTACAAATTAATCCTTTTGCCTCTACCATCTAAAGAAAAATAATAATAATGATTAATAAATAAATATATATTAGTAAAATAAATTGTATATTATATATATTTACTCTTAATTGTTCATTTACTAATACAACACTCATTTTTTCTAATGAGGCCAAATCAATGGCTATTATCGGTCCTCTTGTTTGAATATACTCCAATATCCTTTGTGCTGTCTTTTCATCACTATGACTCAGTATATTATTAAATTTATTATTATTATTATCATTAAGGTAACTTATATATAAACATATATTATGTGATATGAAAATTCATCAAAAAATAAAGGATATCTGACTGAACAACTAAAATTCCACTTCCATACTTTCTTAATCTTAACGGCAAACTTAATTCTTCAAATAATAAACATGCTTTATGTAAATCCTCCGGTGATATTAACGCTTTGGTATAAATGAATAATATTTAATAAATAATATTTTAATATTTTAACATTTTAATAAAGTAAAATTTTTTATACCAACTCCTCTTGCACGATTAAATATACAATAAATATCAATTAATGACATCATTCCATTTTCTTTCTCCAAGATATTTTCCAAAAATTCTGCTAATTGACATGCTAATTCTTTATGATAGATCGATCCTGCAGAATCTCTAAATAAATATAATAAATAAATTAGTTAATATATATAAAAGATCTTTTTCTTTTGATAGTGAGTGAATACATACTTTGTCACTGGGTTTGGAATACCCAATTCTAACATATATGTTCTGAAATTTAAAGTTTCATCTGCTGATGATTCCTCTGAATCTTGTGATTCTTTATTCAATCTATTACTTATAGATTCTGCAAGTGTAACCTTTAAAAATAAACATAGTAATACAATATAATATTATTATATTATATATATTTATATATTTATCTATATATCTATTACCATTTCTGCTGCTTTTGCCATCAATCCATCCAGATCTTTAAAGGCTTGATTTAAAGTTTCTTCTTGTTCTTTTTGGTTTTGTTCAGCAGTACGAATTATACCACCTATATTACATATATATTGTATATGTATATTTATTTAGAATTTTTGGTAATAAACTTTAAAATCAGTCAATTATAGATCCATACTAATTCCACTATGAACAGTTCCAAGTTCTGATGTTGATTTTGATGTTGATTGGTCATCTGATTTCTATAAGGAAATAAAAATTTTTTAATTATAAAATAAATATGTATATTATTATGTATATATATATATATATATTGTAATATGTAAAACATACCTCCCATTCTTTTATAGATATTGCGCTTTTTAATTTATCATAAAAAACACTAGCACCTCCACCACGAAATGCCAATTTAATAAAATCTGGATTAGGTCCACCACTGCTTTTAATTCTTGATAACTCTACAGCATTATCAATATTTGCTTTATTAAAAGTTTCTAATTCTGCATCACAAATCTCACATCTAATCATACTAGAATGATTCAAAAACGTACACATTGGACATGCTATTTCACTATTTTCATCATTAGATGATGGTGTTGTTGTTAACGTTTCATTTTTTTGATCTGAACTGATATTTGTTTTTGTTGCTGTGCTGGTGTTAGTGGTTAAACTTGATGGTGTTGTTGTTGTTGTTGTTGGTGGTGTTGTTGGTGGTGTCGATGATTCAAGTTTTTTCACTCCACAAAGTTGACATTTTATACATTGCGATGTATTGGAAAATGAACATATCGGACATATCCAATTTGATATCAATGATGATGATGATGAATTAGTTTTTGTTGTTGTGATAAGAGATGATGATGATGCAGGAGTTAATGATGGTGATGATGATGGTGATGACGATGGTGATGCAAAAACATTATTGTTATTGTATATTGATAAATTATTTTCGGCAAAACGAAGTGTTATTTTTGGTGATGACTTAACAAACCCTGCCTATAATTAATATATATGTAAACAAGATATGTATGTAAACTTTATATATTTTCCCCTTCTCGCTTCCTGATGATTTCTAAAACTTACATAAAACTCGCGTCCTTTAATTAATTGTAAATCAATTGTGATCAAATTGGTGTGTGGATTTACCGAATCAACATAAACAATTCTATGAGATGTTAAATATACTTTTCCATTCATATAACCTGCTGCTTTCTCATTGCTTATAAATAAAATTATTATTTTTTATTATTATTATTATTATTATCAAAATTATAATAAAACATTTCAAAAAAAAAACAATCTCTTAAATAATTATATATTCTATGTTTCTCTCTTCTTTTACCCATCATAAAGCCCAACATTATCTTGAATAGCGAGTAGGGTTTCTTTTTCTGCTAAAACAGGTCGTAAGGTTGAAGTTAATTCTGCTTTTTTAAAACGATCCATTGATAAATATATATTGATCTTCCAGAAAAAAAATTTTTATTATGTGCTACACTATCCTTGGAAGCAAAGATGGTGTGGGTGGGTATTATTTATTACTATTAATTTTTTGTAACAAAATCTCGTTTCAACGAATTATTTAAAATTCGTGTTACAACGAATCTTTTTTAAATGCAATTTTCTTATAATCAATCATGTATATATTTATGATTATGATTAACAGGAAGGATTAATATTCAATGTTCAATGTTCAATGTTCAACGTAATTGTCATTTTGGTTTCTCATTGAGTCATTTCCATGAACTCTAGATATAAGATAATTGTTTACTAAATGATTTCTGATATTTTCAAAATAAGTCCTACCAATATTCATGGCATATTTTCTGGCAAATTGTGTATTGTGATCCCAGTGGGCTGCTCTCCAAGAATTCCAAAGGAAGAATTTGCAGAATACGTGAATCCTGAACAAGGCATATTTTTGTTGGCATGGGTGGTGTGGGTCAATAATCACTAACCGACGCCTTAAAAAGAAAACCAGATCTAACGAAAGAACTTTCTACACAATAACAACCTTTTTCTAAAAAATCAATTGCCTTTCACATTCATTAGAACAATTGGATTTCAGTCGGAGAATATAAATTTGGAAATGCTAAATACTACAATAATCGACGTCCTAAATTGTTACATTTGAATTCTTAGCTGACCCCGCCCGATTTAATGGATCTTTAAAGACTTTGATCCAACTGATTAAGGAGTTGCTGTCGCAGCCGAGTCAACTCTCAATAACAATAACAGTGTGGTTTCAAAATCGAATATCATTCTAAAAGTCGTGAAGTTATTAGCTTTCAATCAATTTTTATATCGATTATGATAGACCGAACCATAGTAGCCGAACAGTAAACCAAAAATAAATAAAATAGTATACAATATAACCCTCGTTTCAACGGAGTGACTGGATATATAAGAAATTTCATTTAAAATCCGTTGAAACGAAATTACTAATTATAATTATAATCGCGTTTCAACGGATTTTTATATGCTTTCATAGTAATAATAATAATAATAATAATAATAATAATAATAATAATAATAATGTGTAACAAAGATTTTTAAAATCCATTGTAACAAGGTTATATTGTAGTTAGTTAGTTATAAAGAATATTGATTGGGGATGCCTGTCGCAATTATAGTTGCGTAATCACGCACGGTTGGCATTTGGCCCGAAATGATGAAAATGGACGTCTCTTTGACTCAATTCATCAGGTGCGCTGATTTTGTTTGAACCCCAAAATTCAGTACGGTGTGGTCATAACATTATGAATAATTTATACTAACAAAAACCCATTGGTTTTGAGGTGGGGCCATTGGTTTGACGGGCTGTTGGATAGTAAAATAGTTTTTTAGCGGAGAAAATAATTTTTTTATCATTCTACTGACATTAAAAATATTCGTGTTTAACACGAGACACAATAAGATTTAAGGTTTAAATCGGCTGATATGTTTTTTTATTGAGAAAGGTTTAACTATAAATGGATGAATTTCACAAATCTTGGACACCGACAGATTAGTTTGGAGAACTGTTCAAAAAGATAAGTCCCACTCGTGAGAGAATCTATCAATTACAAACGTAATTGCTTATATGGGGTCTGGACAATAGAAACGGACCATGTTGTGAAAACGATGTTTTGAGAAAATTTTAAAAAAAGATCTGCATTTCAAGTAATTTACTATTGTTTTTAAAACTTTAATGGAGGGTATCTCAAAGTTTTATTAAG